AGTCTTCTTCACTTTCAGCAAGCAAGGTTGTATCATCTGCATAGTAAACCATGTGGTTGTCAGATTCAAAATGGCCAATACAAGTCCATTTCAGCTCACTAATGGCTAAGATATCGATGTTTATGCATTCCATTTCATTTTTGACAACTTCCAATTTTCCTAGATTCATACTTCATACATTCCATCTTCTGATTATTAATGGATGTTTACAGCTGTTTCTCTTCATTTTGAGTTGTGCCCATCAGCAAATGAAGGTTCCCGCAGACTTTACTCCCACGCGCTTTACTCCATTCACATCATCACAGTCAAATCTACTTTGAGGAAGTAGCTCTTCCCCAGTGGCATTTTGAGTGCCTTCCAACCTGAGGGGCTCATTTTCCTGTACTATATCTGACAGTGTGTCTCTGCTATTCATAAGGTTTTCAGTGACTAAATATTCTTAAGTAGTTCGTCACTCCTTTCTAGTCTGTCTTCCTCTGGAAGCTCATCTGAAACATATCCACAATGGGTGACCCCTGGAATTTAAAATACCTATGGCATAGCTTCCAGGATCACAGCAACTCACAAGCCACCACAGTACGACAAACTGACAGATAAGTGGTGGACAGTCTACATTAGAGGTTACTTTTTGCTTTGTACCATCTTACAGGTTTTGATTAATGCATTATGTTACGTATCCATCATTATGTTATCATAGAGACTGTTGCAGTGTCCTACAAATGCTATGCTTTGTACTATTATCTCACTCTATCCAAATCTCTGGAAACTTGGTGTTTTCATTGTTCCTATAGTTTTTGGGTTTTTTTTTTTTTTCTTTCTAGGATGTCATAGAGTCTGAAGTTTTGCTTAACTGTCTTCTTTTACTTAGCAATAGGCATTTAAGGCTTTTCTATGTCTCTTTGTGACGTGACAACTCTTATTTTTGCCTGCCTGAAAATACTGTAATGATGTTCAATAGTTTCTTTATCCACTTATGTGAAATAAATCTGGTTGCTTACAGCTTTTGGTGATTATAAATAAAACTACTATAAACATGACCAATAAAAAAAGTTCAGCCTAACAAGGCAAGAGACTTGTCCAAAGTTAAAGAATGTCTGAACTAGCAAAAAGACCCAGAGAGTATTTACATTTGACAAAAGAAAGTTTTAAATGACCAGACATCACCTTCTTCTGGCAACTCAAAAAATGTTTCTGTGTGTTCTGCCTGGTTCTAAGTATCTGCTGTAAAGGAAGGATGGAACTCTCCAGGTAACCTAAAATATCTGATAATGCTAAAGCCATTCATATTGTCTACGGAAATTTATAGTATAACTCTGGGACCAAAATTGACACATATCCAAATACTGAAAAATGGGACACTCTAGCAGTCCTTCAACAGTGTTGAAAAAAGCTTGCCCAGGACTGAATTTGACAGGGTAGATAACCTATCTACATATGAGTAGGCTTCAAAAAGTTCGTGGAAATTTTCCAGTATCTTTCAATACCTTTTTTCCATGAACTTTTTTTTATATATATAATCAAGAGGTTAATGATTTATCTTGTCTTTGAAGGGTGTTACAAAATACTAAATAGATCACATCACAGTTACGCTAGCAGAAATAATTACAATCAGAAGGGACTATACATATATAAAATGGAAAATGGGAGACGTGGAGCAAAAGAATGCATATTAGAATGACACACTATCAGTCAAGCAAAATGACAGGACTGAAAATGATCACAATTCAAAATATGTGATATCAGTTAAAAAAAAAGAACACACAAAATAGAAACTTTTAAAAGATTAAAAAGGACAGAAAGAGGCCCTCTACAATATTTTTCCTTTACCCAGTGGACTATCGGGCATACCCTTTGGGGATCACCCTGCCACTGGAAGCAGTGCTTCAAAATACCTTAGAAAAGTACCAGACAAAAGGTAATTGCTCTAGTTACCTGGAAAACTCCTGAATGACTTTCTTCATACATTGTTAAATCAGATATGCCCTCAGTGTCCAGAACAAGCCATTAGGATTCTAACTAGGAAAAGTGAGAGGAATGGGAAATGCACAACATATCTTGGAAACTACATAGTGTAAAGGACCCAGAAGCAGAACTGATTTTGTTCTGTTTTGATTCAAATTATGTCCTTTATAATTGTAATTTACAGGCTCAATGCTTTACCCCATGTTCTATTTCCAGCCACAGGAAGGGGCTGGGTAGTCATTAAGAAAGTGTCACATAAATAGCCACTTACCAGCTCACCTGGGGCGTGCAATGCCAGACAAGTAGTAAAGAATGTCAATTTTAGTCATTAAACTACTTGTAAACTCCCTGAAGAAAGGGGTGGCCTGGTAAAATTTTGTGAACATTCAATCTTTAATTAGCTGCACAAGCAGATCAGAGAGAGTCACAGAGAAGGACAAACGAATAATCAAAACAACCATTGACAGTCAACTTTGTCATGGCGAAGATACATGAGAGGACTTCAAAAAGTTCATGGAAAAACTCCATTACCTTTTAATACCAGTTTCTTCACAAACTTTCTGAAGCCCCTTGGTATAGTCAGATACAGCCAAGCATCTTTTTTCCTTAAATTTACACAAGGATCAACAGCCCAAAAATGGTAGAGCATAGTGCTTTAATATATAAGTCCAGGGACCAAGCAAGGTTTAAGCAAATACATCTGTACAACCTGAAGCAAGTTATTAAACCTTTATAATTTTTCATACCTCATCTATAAAATAATTATTCTAACATTACCATCCTTATTTGTTTGTACGGTGAATTAAATGATACATAGCATTTGAAGTACTCAGCACAGTGCTTGGTAAACAGTGAATAAATGAAAATATTAGTATTATTAGAGTTAAAGGCAGCTGTGGAAATTAGCAAAGAGGAGGAAAGAGAGAAGGTGTGGTCATGGTCAAATATATTGTCTAGCAGTGGAAACAACACTGTAAAGCCAATAGCTGTGCTTCCAAGACTATCTCCTATATCCCCTAATTGCATTTGTGGGGAAAAAATGGGGGTTTTGTTCAGATACCTATTTTAAAAAGAAAAGAAAAAGTTGTTTTTCTCCCCACTGGAAAAAGCTTCTTGTCTCTTTGTGTTTCTGAAAGTCTAGTTACTTGTAACAGAGGTAGGGCATCATGGTTCTGTATGATCCAGGTCCCTAGGGCTACTGTGCTTGTTAATGTTTTGGATTTACTTGACTGAGCCAGGCTTCTCAGTGGTTTGGCAGTTGACCTATAGCTACCCACCATTATGTGATGTGACATGATAAACCAATAAGAGGATTGTTGTTGTTGAGTGCCCTTGAGTCTGTTCCTCCTCATAATGACCCTTAATCCCACCACCACCCTGATCCAATGTATGGAAAATTTCTAAGGGTGTGGCATACACTACCTTTTATCTTACAAGAGACAAAAGGAAAGAGCCCTAGTGCCATCACGATAGAAGAACCCAGGGGTGGAATGTATCCTCTGCACCTGGGATCCCTACACTATGAAGTTCCTAGGTCCAGAGAAAGACTGATGTCAAGGTGTATAGAGGTCTCCAAGGAATACCTGGGTTACAGATGCTGAAAGGAGACAACAAAAAATTCCCCACTGTGAATTTGGACGTCTAGCCTAAACTGTGAAAGAGAAAAATTTCTGGTTGTTAAAGTAAAATCCAATTTTGGGTTTTCTATTATAGCAGACCTAGATAACTAAGACAGCTACCAAGGCCAGCAGAGAAGATAGAACTTAAACCTTACCTGTGTCCAGTGGTTTTTAAATACAATCATGCATGTTTCTGGGTCAACTCCCTGCAGGCTCACAGCCTGCTGGAGTTTGCTTCCTGTGACAACTGATGACATCATAAACCTTCATAAATTAATGCTTCTAAGTCATATTTAGTTATCATGAGAATTAGTTAAGCAGTTGCTTGTTTTCAAGTATCACATTAGAGGAAAAACTTCTTTGCATTCCACTGTCACCTTCAGAAACCTGGAACGACAATAACAAATATATATATTCATATGTTGTTATACAGGGCAATGACTATTAAATTTAAATTAAAATTTCTTAAAATCCAACAAAAACAAAATATCTAAGAAGGCAGTTATTCCCTTCAATTTGTTAACAAAAATATAAAATAATGGCACTACAGAACTCATACATCGATTAAGAATTTTGGGGTTTATTCACTACCCCAAGTACCCCCCTCCCCCAGATTGTTATTTTAAATTACTCAAGTCAAGTTTTTAAAAGGATAAAAGCTAATATAAATACAAATCATGCAAAAAAGTGCTTCATAATACAGTAGTAATCCAATAAGAAATTATGTTTGTGGAATTTAAAAAATATTCAGCAACAAGAAAAGCATTAGTTAATGGTGACAGAAATACACAGCTTGATGCAACTTCAGGGAGTAACAGAATAGCACCCAGACTCTTTAATCCTATATTATTGATTTAAAAAAAAAAATCAATGACTGTCATAATAGAATTGAAAGCATTCTCAGTCATTTTGTCAAGGTTTCTAGCAACTCTGATAAATAACAGAATTACAAGTGACCTTGAAAAATCAGAGAGACATGATCCATCAAAAACAAGATACTACTTATTAGGTGTGAGTACAAGGCAACATACTTATAAATGAAAAATCAATTATGTGTAAAATATAAAGTCTGACTACAACAGAGCCAGTAAGGGGGGCAAAAAAAAAAGAGATACTACTTCTGTCATGGATTGAATTGTGGACCCAGAAATATGGGTCATGATTGGGTCATGATTCTCAATGGTTTGGCATTTTTGTAAAGATATAATCATCGCCCATGATGTGATATGATGTGATCAGCCAATCAGTTGTAAATGGATGCAACATCCTTACTCAGGTCACAGCCTTGACCCTGATCCAATGGAGTTTCCGTGGGGTGTAGTCTACAATACCGTTGATCTCAAGAAGTTGGAAGAAAAAAAAAAAAAAAAAGAAGTGAGCAGAGATGGGATCTCATTACCAACAAGAATGAGGAGCTGAGTGCATCCTTTGGAGCAATGACAATCTCCTAGACTCAGCGAGAGATTTATGCCAAGACACCTGGAGATCTCCAAGCAACACCTGGCCCAAAATGCTGAAAGAAGTCAAGGACATTCTCCCAGAGCCAAGAAAGAGAATGAAAGGTTTCCCCAAGAGGTGGCAATCTGAATTCAGACATGTAGACTCCTAAAGTGTGAGAGAATAAATTTCTGTTAAAGCCATCCACTTGTGCTATTTTTGTAATAGCGGCACTAGGTAACTAACACAAGATCATAGAGTCTGTGGAAAATATGATCATGTGGTGTGGTGCTAACAAAAGTAGTATGATAGAGGTATCATTTCATAGTTTGATCAGTAAATACCAGGATAGGGCAGAGTTCAAAAGTGATTTCTTAGTGTATAGACAAGAAAGCATTCAGAGAAAAGTAGTTATCTCAAAATTATCTTAGCAAAATAAAGTTCATGATGAAAGTCTGTAGACTTAGTGTACCAAAATTGAGATACGGAGAACAGAGTATTTTCAATTGAGTGCAAAAAGGGCATTACAAAATGGTCATTAACTATTCTCATTTTGTTGTTGTTACGTGCTATAGAGGCGGTTCTGACTCATAGCAACCTTATACACAACAGAATTAAACACTGCCCAGTCCTACACCATCCTCACAATTGTTAAGCTTGAACCCATCGAGCTGCTACTGCGCCAATCCAACTACTCTTTTTTGCTGACCTTCTACTTTACCAAGTATGATGCCCTTCTCTAGAGACTAGCATCTGACAATATGTCTGAAGTATGAGAGATGAAGTCTTGCCATCCTGACTTCTAAGGAGCATAATGGCTGTACTTCTTCCAACACAGGATTTTTTGTTCTTCTGGCAGTCAATGGTTTTCTTCTCTAACACCATAATTCAAATTCATCACTTCTTCTACAATCTTCCTTATTCATTGTCCAAAGCTCTCATGTATATGAGGTTACCAAAAATACCATGGCTAAGGTCTAGCGCACCTTAGTCCTTAAACTGACATCTTTGCTCTTGAATACTTTAAAGAGGTCTTGTACAACAGATTTGCCTAATGCAGTAAATCCTTTGATTTCCTGACTGCTGTTTGTTTCCATGAGTGATAGTGGATCAAAACAAAATTAAGTCTTTGACAACTTCAATCTTTTCTCCATTCATCATGATGCTATGTATTGGTCAAATGGTGATAATTTTTGTTTATGTTGAGGTGCAACTCATACTAAAAGATGTGGTCTTTGATCTTCATCAGTAAATATCTTCATCAGTAAGTCCTCTTCTCTGTCAGCAAGCAAAGGTTGTTATCATCTGTATATTGCAGGTTGTTAATGAATCTTCCTCCAATCCTGATGCCATATTCTTCTTCATATAATTCTGTTTCTCAGATTATTTGCTCAGAATACAGACTGAATAAGTATGGTGAAAGAATACAATCCTGGCACACACCTTTCCTGATTTTAACCCATTCAGTGTTCCCTTGTTGTCATGTGCCATCGAGTTGGAACCAACTCATAGCGACCCCACTCACAGCAGAACAAAACAATGTCCGATCCTGGGCCAACCTCACTACCACTGCCACACTTGACGCCATTAATGATGCCACCTGGCCGATCCATCTCGTTGTGGGTCTTCCTCTTTTTCTCTGACCCTCCATCTTACCCAGCATGACATCCTTCTCCAGCGACTGTTCCCTCCTGACAACATGTTCAAAGTATGAGA